TGGGGGGGGGCCCGGCCGGGGGGGGGGGCCCCCCCCCCCCCAGTGCACAAATTTTTGTGCACCGGGCCTCTAGTATATAATAAAAGCGCAATATGCTAATTAGACCGGACGTCTTTCGGGACGAAGCCGGGGCCACGAGGGAAGCCTGGGTCCCGGGAGGAGGGAAGCCAATTTTTGTGCACCGGGCCTCTAGTAATATATAAAAGCGCAATATGCTAATTAGACCGGACGTCTTTCGGGACGAAGCCGGGGCCACGAGGGAAGCCTGGGTCCCGGGAGCCAGAGGGAAGCCAGTGCCGGCAGCCGGGGGAAGGAAGGCCTACTCTTGCACAAATTTCATGCATCGGGCCTCTAGTACTTAAATATACTTGTAAGAATATAATTATGAGAGTCTCTCTCACATCGATGTCTCTCTCTCTCTCTCCCTCTCTCTCCTTCCCTCCCTTCCACTCTCTCTTAAAAGCAATGGACAAACTATCCTTGGGTGAGGATTAACAAATAATAAATAAATAAATAAATAAATAAAGCATCAGTTTTTGCTAAATATAATCAAGAACACACCCCTCCTCTGTAAAGCAAGGGGAGTGAATTAATTTCAAAGGCCTTTTCCAATGTTTTATCTTCCTTCACTTCCTCAACCAATTATTTCACAGCAGACGAAATAGAGGCTCAAAGAATAACTTATCCAAAGTCATACAACAAGTAAGTAGAAGAACCACTTCACAATTTTAAAAACTTTAAATGTGGATAACTTCTAAAGTCCTCTATCCATTTCCAACAACTTTTTTCAATTGGAAAAAAGGTATATAAATCTATGTGTCGAGTTATATTAAGTTATAAATTTATCTCAACAAGGGGAGGGGTTGATGGGGGACAGTGGAGGTAAGCAAGGGGAAGGAGGGGGACTCCTGCAATAATGTCAACAATAAAAAAACTAATAAAAGTAAATAAAATGTAAAAAAGATAATAAAATAAAGGACAAACTTTTATTAACTTCTGTCAAAGAATATAAAATTTTTAGTGCTACTGAATATTTAAATAACTTATACTTACATAGTCACAATGTCAAATTTTCACCAGGATTAAGCCACAAAAAGAAATAGAAAAAAAAACTATAAATAAGAAACATATTGAGATGACACACTCAAAGAAAAAATAAGACAATTTGAAAGATAAAATCATAAAAACAAAACAGTACAGGAATAACAAAAGAGAAAACTTCCGTAAACAAACTGAAACGATAGAAATGTCTCACCTGTATGTAATGAGCGGGTGGAGAGGAATAAACTCAGCCGGCCCAAATTCTACCGAGCAGCCACGCGTGATCAGTGTTAGCAATTCCCCTTGGCACGTCAGTAAAACCAGGGAGCCACGTTTTAACATACAGGCCAGGAAAAGACTGTCATGGGTCCAGCTGATGTCGCCTACCCAGTAGGACCTAGAAAGAGCGAGACAGTATGTTTAGAAAGGATTCTAGACAATGTGTCTGACCATTTCTAACGGCCAAGCAGAGGTGAAACTCTTAAAAAAAAAACAGGGCAAAAGAATGGAGAGCAGCCCTAACTGAAGGTTCCCAGGTTCGATTCCTGTCAACGGCACATGCCTGGGCTGTGGGCTCAATCCCCAGGAGGGGGTGTGCAGGAGGCAGCTGGTCAATGATTCTCTCATCGTTGATGTTTTTCTCTCTCTCTCTCTCTCCCCTCCTCTCTGAAGTCAATAAAAATATTTCTTTTAAAAAAAAGAATGGAGAGCAGACAACTGCCATAACTGCCACATACATTGTGTGTATGTCACTTCCCAGAGAAAAAGAGTTCACACATACACATCTACTCCATACGACATACTAATAGAAATTTCGATTCACAAGCAAATCACAAAATAAAAATACTCCCTGAGAGTTAAGCTTTTCAGTCACTCACATGTTAATCAGAACAACTGTTAACCCTATTGGTGTCCACAACCAAGATCTATTGATAGACGGGAAGGTCAACACCTGCTGAGTTCCACGCGGCCGCAGAATCCCTGTTCGCAAAGCCATCATTTCTCCTCCGTAACTGTCTGGTAACAGTGATGTCTCATGGAGACAAGAGTAGTTGTTGCTCATGTAAATGAGGGACACCTTAAGTCAAACACTGCTGAACTGAGACCCGTAACACTTTCAGAACGGAACTTTTAAGGGGGGGAAGAAAATGAAGAGACAAGGCTGGATGGGTCTAAAAACTTGGAAAATTCAGAGAGCAGCACAGAGAAGTGTTCGGAAAGGGAAATCCGGGGGTCCAAGAGGAAACTTCCCTATTGTATGTCCCGCGTGGTAGCTCCCATGCCATCCCAAATCACCACGTATGTTGCTACTGACCCGTGTGCAGAGAATGCCAACTTTTTTCCAGTTCAGCCTCCCAGTTAAGCCCAATATATTTCTACCAGCCATGATCCCACTCCTCCTCGGACAACGTAGCAAGAAATAAAAAAGAGAAAATGCTCACTATCTTCCCCGCAAGCAGCCCCTTCCTTAGGCACTTAAGGCTTTCCTCACATAAGGCAATCTTCAGAACCTGTCTCACAGATGCAGAGAGCTGCATTATCCATCTAAATACCTATTTAGACACCTACTGAATCATCAGAGCCTTAAACTATCAAACTGTTGGAAAAGAAAACAAAAGCACTATTTAGAAATACAAAAGAGTTCTTACCTGACCAGGGTAGCAGGAACCACGGGGCTCTTATTGCTACAGCCTTTAAGGCTTCCACAGAGAGTAGCAAAATTCAGTGTGTTTACAAATAATACCTGAGTTGCCTAGAAAGAGTTAAAGAAGACAAAACCATTAAAATTATTTTACTTTGATCATAACTTATGATTCTGAAGACCTAGAGATCTATTATTATATCAGTACACTACCTAGGGGTCTTTCCCAACGGGCAAGCAGTGCTCACCACCCATATATTTCTTTTCTTTTATTCTACATTTTAAGAACATCAGTTACAGCATTGCCCTTCTTTCTTCCTTTTCCCTCAACCTATTTTTGCTTCTGAAGGCCAAGTATTGAAAACTATGGCAGGTCATTTATTTAATTTCTTTAGTAATTTGAGAGAGAGAGGAAGGGAGAGAGAGGGACATCAACGTGAGCGAGGAACCTTGATCGGTTGCCTCCTGTACCCACCCCGACCAGGGATCAAACCAGACACCTGGGCATGTGCCCTGACCGGGAATGGAACTGGCAACCTTTCGGAGCACGGGACAACACTCAGCCAGCTGAGCCACACCAGCCAGGGCCTGGTAGCCAATTTAAATAACTTCACCAATCCACAATGTTGAGTTGGATCAGAAAACACCAATTTAAAGAATTATCTCCAGGGGGAAAAAACATTTAAAAACGGGACTAAACTCTCTGCCCTATAGGTTACTTCCAAGACAGGTTACATTTACTGACCTTCGGGTCTTTCTGATTCAGAGTTACTGCCAGGGTAAGGCCATCTCTTGAAAAGGCAGAAATTAGAGCTCCTCTTGACTTGACTGGTTCACACGTAGGAATCAGACTTCCCAGAAGGCAATCTTGCTGTGCCCAATGAACACGGTATGGCAAGGATCTAAGAAAGTAAGGAAATAATTGAAAACAGGAAGTATGGTAACTTCTAGATTAATACGTAGTTCATTACAAAAAAACTAAAGGGTCCAACTAAGTTCCTACATGTGCACATATATTAGGGGCCTCTTAGCAGCCGTCCAAGTCACAGAAGAGCAGTCACCAGTTCAACAAGCTCAATCGCAGAGTTTTGTTAGTAAGAGCATGTTTGGTAGCCAACCCCAAATACATCTGCTTCCACTAATGGTTTAGACACCCCCATTTCTATATTATTGCTAACATTTTTAAAGGGACTGAACAGAGAAGAGTGGGTTTTCCGGATAGTGTTCTATACTTGATATGAGACTGTTACACGCATGTATATTCATTAGATTTGTTTGTTTTACTTTATATAAGTTATACCTTAGTAAGTTATTGTTAGCATAAAAAATAAAGAAAATAAACAGAAAGAAAAATACACCCCCCCAAATCACAATATTTTATTTAGCCATTATATGTTTTTATAATGCATTCTATTTGATGGGCTTTTTAGAATAATTCTATGTTTAAATAAAAAAAAATTCTCCAGCATGTAAAAAGTACAGTAAATTCAAGTGCCTTTTAAAATTGACTGTAAAAATTCCTTTCCAAAGTAGCTCTTTATTGTCTTAAAACAAGTAAAACCATAGTCTGCCTTATCTTTTACGTGTTTTCACTTCTAAGAAGAGAAACAAAAGCAAAATAACCGATTAAACGTGTTTAAATGAAAACTAAAGCAATACTATGGGAAGAAAGGATCTGTAAAGTCTCAGAAGTGACAGTTCATTTACTAATCTGACTGTGTATTTCTAAGCCAGTGATGGCGAACCTATGACACGCGTGTCAGAGGTGACACGCGAACTCATTTTTTTGGTTGATTTTTCTTTGTTAAATGGCATTTAAATATATAAAATAAATATCAAAAATATACATCTTTGTTTTACTATGGTTGCAAATATCAAAAAATTTCTATAGGTGACACGGCACCAGAGTTAAGTTAGGGTTTTTCAAAATGCTGTCACGCCGAGCTCAGAAGGTTCGCCATCACTGTTCTAAGCCAAAGGTACCTGTGTCTTAAAAGGGCAGGAAAATAAGAAAGAAGGGAACATTTACCTCACCTCACAGGTGGAAACACATTCTCATGCCACCGAATTGCTAGACATGTCAACCTCAGACACTCCCCAGAGTAAAAAGTAAATGCGCACAAGCAGCAGTCGCCCAGTAACTGTAGATAAATGCAATAGACTTTAGCACATAATCTATCCGACAATAAATCAAGGCGCAGAACATACATATTTCTCATCACAAATGAAATATATCGAGATCTTGTTTCTATTTTTATTCTAAACATTAAGTTCAAGACTAATTTATTTCTGAGCCACAGGTATATCCCAAATGGGAAATCAACATGCAGTTTATTCTCTTAAGAAAACACTGCCATTTACTGGGGCTGTCACTAAAATGATACTTACATAGTAACTTTCTCTTCTACAGTTATATATTATTTAAACTAGGGCACTGGAAGTGGGGTGAGGTAGAGGAAAACAATGAAACTTTAAAATGCAACTTTTAACAGTAGTGGACTGGTAATAAAATGCAGGCCCATGCTGCTATTTAAAATGTTTTTTAGTTCATAAAGGTATTATTTCCTGGGAATTAAACGGCTTATTTAATGTCACCAATTCTAGCTTTTTAAATTACAAAACTAGCTATATTTCAAAACTAGGGAAAAGTAAAACTAGGGAAAGAGAAAGGAAGCTCTAATATCAAACCATTTTTATAAACACCTCTAAAAATGTGCAAGAAATAAAAATGTATTTCCCACAATAATTTCACCGTTTCTGGGACGATGCTGACTAAAGATCTACAGCGATGCCACTGCCCTCTGTGCTCATTCACTCCAGTGTGTGGTCAGAGTCCGAGGGCTCACCTCCTCGAACCCCCTGTCCGATGTGGGTTTTACCTCATTTTTTATGAAAACAGCATGCACCACAGCTTCTTTATCTTCAGTGGAAGGCAAACGCACTGCTTCTTCAGGTGTGATCTGGGACCACTGGCCCCTCAATGAAGGGCTTTTAGAAGACAAGACATTCCTGAATTCCAAATATTCCCAAAGAAATATGCATCCAGAGGGAGTTACAATCAGAACTCTTTTTCCATCTCCAGATACATACAAATAGAGTCTCAACGAGCTTGCTAAAAATAAAAAAAAAAGTTAAAAAAAAGTAATTAAACCTTGAAGACTGAATTCCCTCCAGAGGCTAAATAATTTATCTCTTCTGACAAAGAACCAGAATAATGTGACCATTAAGGATGTAAAGCTAAGGCAGTAGTAAAAAATTAAAAGTACAAATAATAGTAACATATCACATATTTACGTGATATTAGGAACGCTTGGTTATCAGATATGTTAGGCATACCAGACTACATTCATCCAAGATGAATCTAAGTATCACAAATAAACACCACCAAAAAAAATGCAAGGAAATATACGTGTACACACACAGAGATATACACACACAGAGAGATTTTTTAAAAATAGCAGTAGGAAAATATTTCGTCCTCCCTTCCTGTTTTATCAAGTTAAACCAATTTAAACAAATACATCCTCACCTACTGAAGCCTTAATCACTTCCCTCGGCTTCTCAGCTGCCTGGATGGTTTTCAAACAATCTTGATCTTTGTTCCAAAGGAAAAGCTCCCCGGTAGAAAGGACCCCAGCCAGCCAGGCATCTGTTTCCGAAAAGGAAATGCAATCCTTACAATCTAAAAGCGCCCCTGAGATTGCCCCACATGGTTAGGAATTTCAGGCTGCCTCAGCCTCTGGAAACAGCAGGCCTACTTAACCATTACTGGACGTTGTGAGGACCACAAGATGCTTCAAGAAAGGCTGCAGGCGAGGGATTTTCTTCTTTGTCCTTCCCGACAGCAAATTAATTTCATGTATGAGTTTATCATCCAAAAGAAAAACGGCTTCGTTTTCCTGAGAAGAAACACGTGAGACTTAGGAGGTGGCAGAAGTTCATTCAAAGTCTTATCCAAATTATGCCAGAAAAGAACACGAAGTGACGTTTAAGAAAGATGACATACCTGTGTACCATGAGTCCTAAAATGAACCATAAGGTCGACTAGGTAGACTGAACATGGTTTCACTCTATCTTAAAATACCTCATTAAAATTGCTTGGTAAAAATGACCTAACAAATGCAATTTAGATTGCTTTGAGGTTTAAAATTATAAGAGTGTCTTCTGCTAGCCAAAACTGGGTCATCAATTTAACCCTAGTATGGACAAGTCTTTAAATTACTTATTTAGATTAAAACAGATATGGGTTCTGCAACCCTGGCTGATCATTTTTTAAAATATATATTTTATTGATGTTTTACAGAGAGGAAGGGAGGGGGATAGAGAGTTAGAAACATCAATGAGAGAGAAACATCGATCAGCCGCCTCCTGCTGGGGATGCGCCCGCAACCAAGGTACATGCCCTTGACCGGAATCGAACATGGGACCCTTCAGTCCGCAGGCCGACACTCTATCCACTGAGCCAAACCGGTCAGGGGGCTGATCATTTTTTATTACCGAGGAAAAGTCTGCTGTTCTGAATTAACTTTGCCTTCATGTATTATCCCAGGGCAGTGGTTTTCAAAATGCCACCTAACCAGCGGCATCAGCAACCCCCGAGACCCTGCAGGAAATGCATCTTCTTCTACCCCAGGCCCACTGACCCAGCAGCTTGAGGATGGGGCGCAGCCCTTGTTTTAACAAGCCCTCCGATGACTGTGAACCGCCGTGAAGTTCAAGAGAAGGTAAGTTAATGGTATAATTTCTCCAAGGAAACGACACAACACCAAATTTTTTTTAATATAATTTTTAAAAATTGATTTGAGAGAGGGAGATAGAAACATCAATGATGAGAATCCCTGATCAGCCGCCTCCTGCACACCCCGCCCTGGGGATGGAGCCGGCAACCCGGGCATGTGCCCTGACCGGGAATCGAACCGTGACCTCCTGGTTCATAGGTCGACGCTCAACCACTGAGCCATGCTAACTGGGACCACCAAATTTAATTTTAATACTTGTGATAAATCTAGGTTTGCCCACTTTCCCTGCGGTGAGGCCTCTATCCCATGTATTGTGAGTCGTGTCCTGGGCTGTTAGTGCATCATGACCCACCTTCACCCCAGGTCTAAGGGCCACTGGGTTGCACACTCATAAAAACCATGCTTGTCGATAGAAAGAAACACTCCACGGATTGTTCCGGTAGGAAAAGGTTCAGAAGATTAAAAATTCCTTTTTCGCCCTAACTGGTTTGGCTCAGTGGATAGAGCATCGGCCTGCGGACTGAAGGGTCCCAGGTTTGATTCCGGTCAAGGGCATATACCTTGGTTGTGGGCACATCCCCAGTAGGGGGTGTGCAGGAGGCAGCTGATTGAGGTTTCTCTCTCTTTGATGTTCCTAATTCTCTATCCCTCTTCCTTCCACTCTGTAAAAAAATCAATTAAATATATTTTAAAAAAAAATTCCTTTTTGCTATATGCCATCGCCACCTTTTTAAACATAATATAAAAATGTGTTTTTTTGTTTTTTTTAATTAAATCTTTATTGTTCAGATTATAGTTGTTCCTCTTTTTCCCCCCCATAGCTCCCCTCCACCCGGTTCCCACCCCACCCTCTGCCCTCACCCCCACACCCCCTTTCCCCCACAAGAATAGTCAGTCAACTCCCTTTCTATGCCCCTGACTCTATTATAATCACCAGTTTATTCTGTTCATCAGATTATTTATTCACTTGATTTTTAGATTCACTTCTTAAAATATTTCTTCTTGATAGACCATTTAACTTTCTGGAAAAGCTAACTTGCTCACTATACTGAAGACAATACACACACACAAAACCCTGTTCTGTGGGCAGGTGATCCTTGAAAGACGGATTTTATTTTTTAAATGCCACAGACCATCCTTCAACCTCAGAGGCAAAGCACACATTCCACACAGACGACGACTGGACAGTACGAGAAAGAAACACCTACCTGGCCCAACCAGGAGACGCGGGGCCAGGGTCTTTTCTGCTTGATGGTGGTTGACGTCAAAACTTCCAACCTGATCTCCATGCTTGTCGAGGTTTCAGTGACCAGTTAAGTAAAAACAGTCACAAGATGCTATGAAAAGCAAAAATAATGATCATCATAAATAGCCCGTATTTACTGAGGATCTTAATTTAGAATTCTCATAAAGATTTGGTGTTCTACTTTTTCATCAGTTCAATTCTCTTCTTAAGGCAAGATATTGACAATGCATTCGGTATCTCATCTCGTATCCTGAACAGTCAGGCAAACTGTATTTGCTTTTATTTGACAAGTTATTTCTCCGACTGTGAAGGTAAACAAGACCTCGGGGAAGATCTGGAAAATACAGTTTCCACGTCATCTGCCTTTCTCCAAAGATGGCCACAGCAGCACCTCCTGTCCCATATTCTCCTGCACTGTGACCCTGACTGTCTCTCAGAGACCCCTTCTCTGGTCTATGCCTTATCCCTTAAAACTGGATGGGATCTGGTCTATTTTAACCAGAATAAAACAGGAGTGATGCTCTGCATTTCCCAAGGCTAGATCGCAAAAGGCAATACAGTTTCTACCTCACTCCCAGGGAGGGAGAGGGGGAGAGAGAAACAGGGACAAGAGAGCGAGTATCAGTGGGCTGCCTGCTGAACGCCCCCTACTGGGGATCGAGCCCCAAATCCCTGACGGGAAAAGACCCAACCATCTTTTGTGCACCAATTGATGCCCACCAACTGAGCCACACTGGCCAGATGTTTGTTTTTTAAAGGGGCCTTACCTCTCCTAGATATAGGATACCGTATATACTTAAGTATTTATGCCAAGGATTTACTTCATTTGTGTGTTTTTTTTAATGTTTTTACCAGGTGTACCAGTTAATAATGTAGATTTTTTCAATAGATGGAGTTACACTTATGTTGATATATATTAATTTGATA